CAGACAATATATAGATTGCTAATAATTTTGTATCATAAAGTTGTCATGTAATATCCTAGTGTGGACAAAAAATAATTTTGATAACTCTTAAATAAAATTTGGGTAGTTCTTGACAAAAAATATATAATATGGATAGTTTTTAACTAAAATTTGAATAGCTCATAATTAAAACTGTGTAATTGAAGTAACTATTTAACCAAAATTTGAATAAAAATTTGGTTAAGAGTTATTCAAATTATTTTTTTTATCTATATTTAAGTATCACGTGACAAATTTATAATAAAAAATTGTTAGCAATCTGAACGCTGTTTTTTTGAGGGACCATATAAAAACATATTCGATACTTCATGGACTAAAATGATACAATTAAATTATTGTGAACTAAAATGAGATAAATTTCATACTCTGGGAATTTGTAGTGCAATTAACCCTATAATTCAATTAAGAATTTTCCGGGAATATACGATGCAACAGGCCTTCAGAATCCCATACGCTTCACAATTTGATAGGATACCTTTGAATTTTTAATGTTCTGTTTTAGGCCATTACGGTGGTAGCCAGGTGGGCAGGTAAGACTGGCCCCAGGCTGGGAATGGGGGAGTCTATAATGCCACAAAAGTCTTGCAAGTTGGTTATACCAAGATTATTTTTTGGATAAAATATATTTTTAGTNTGTCCTAAACCTAGAGTATAATTGCTCCTTGGGTCTTTCTTTTTATATATTCTTTGTTGACTGACTCGTTTGCGGGGCCTTTTCCTTCATTGCTGAATTCCCCATTAATTTCTCAGACAACTGCATGGTAGTTGTAGGTGGAATATACTATACATCCTTGAGCCAAGCTAAAATTCAAATGGTAATTAAAGATCTAAGGGATAAAATCACTCTTTCGGATCTCCTCTCCTCACTAAAGAATTCTAATTGATATGGATCATTTCTTAGGATAATTCAGTAGTCTTTACCTATCAGTGCCCATTAGAACCTCGTCCCACATCGATTGAGAGTCATCTCCCCCTCGTGCATATAAGCTTACGCTTCATATGGATGAGGTATCCACTAGCCACTTGTTCAAGTGCTAGTAGGTACNGTTCATAAAAAAATAGCGATGGTTCTAGTCGCACGTCAATCACGTGATTTTTAATTTTATATTTATTTGGTCCTTATAGTTCTTAATTTGTGCCTATTTAGTCCCACATGATTAGCGCGTGACTAAAAACGTTAATGATTTTTTGATTGACATTTGAGGTTAGACCACATAAATACAAATTAGGAACGCTAGAAACCAAATAAACACATTTGATTAATTGAGATGATTTTTCTCTTTTCAAATGAGATCTCTCAACAAATAGAAATTATTTATGATGACTTCTTGACGCTTNCTTCTCCATATGAAGCGTAGGCTTATATGCGGAGGGGAATGATTTTCAATCGATGTGGTTTAAGGCTTAATCATATACAATTTGATTGACTTAAAGTACGTAATTTTAGATATCATGCGTTTATAAAACAGTCTCAAATCCAACAAAAATTTNTTTCTCCATATGAAGCGTACGTAATTTTAGATATCATGCGTTTATAAAACAGTCTCAAATCCAACAAAAATTTATAAATAGGTTGATTCTTGATTATTGNAACCTAAATGACGGAGAACTTTCCCTGAAAGATAGAGCCACCGGCTGCTTGACTTGGGTCAATCAGAAATCGGTACTAAATTTTCCAGGAAAATAAGAAAAGGGAAAAGGGGGAGAGAGTGTGTGTCTTTTCTATGGTGTAGTCAATAGTCAAAGCATCCACACCANTTATAAATAGGTTGATTCTTGATTATTGAAAAAGTGAAAAGATGCACTTGTAACACTTCGATCAACGATAAAGAATAATGCTATGTTGATTAAATTAAGAATTCAAATAACATGATACCTAATTATTTGAAGTCTTTATTAGGATATAAATGACTTGACACTACATAAAAAAGATCAAGTTAATTCTCATGTCAATTAAAATTTTAATTTAATTTTAAAATTTGATCAGTATAAAATTATTAGAACAATAAAAGCAAATTCTCAGTTCTCACANTAAATTAAGAATTCAAATAACATGATACCTAATTATTTGAAGTCTTTATTAGAATATAAATGACTTGACACTACATAAAGAAGATCAAGTTAATTCTCATGTCAATTAAAATTTTAATTTAATTTAAAAATTTGATCAGTATAAAATTATTAGAACAATAAAAGCAAATTCTCAGTTCTCACATTGCATCGAAAGCAACNAGAAAACAAGTCAAGTTTGAACGAGTCGAACCGAAATCGAGCCTCGAGTATTTGCACATAAACGAGCTGAGCTTGTAGGACTTATTTTTCAAACGAGTTTAAAAATTTATTCAAATTCGAACTCGTTTAAAAAACGAACCAAACCTAAATGAATCAAACTCGAATATTTCAATTTGATTAACGGCCGATGCGAAACCTAGATGATAGCAAAGTTTTCGAAAACAGCAAATGAGAAATGACTGGATTATTGTGTGGATCTTGTTTCATGCTGTGCCCACATTATTTTGGGTTTAACTGGTTTCATACTGAAATTATTGCAATTCATACACAATCGAACACCTTTATGTCAAATCTCATATTGAATTTCCAGGTCTTGTCATCAACTATCAACTTGTTTTTTTTTTTTTCTGATGAAAGTAAACAGAATGGGCATGGTAATAGATATTTTTTTGTCCTAAACCTAGAGTATAATTGCTCCTTGGGTCTTTCTTTTTATATATTCTTTGTTGACTGACTCGTTTGCGGGGCCTTTTCCTTCATTGCTGAATTCCCCATTAATTTCTCAGACAACTGCATGGTAGTTGTAGGTGGAATATACTATACATCCTTGAGCCAAGCTAAAATTCAAATGGTAATTAAAGATCTAAGGGATAAAATCACTCGTTCGGATCTCCTCTCCTCACTAAAGAATTCTAATTGATCTGGATCATTTCTTAGGATAATTCAGTAGTCTTTACCTATCAGTGCCCATTAGAACCTCGTCCCACATCGATTGAGAGTCATCTCCCCCTCGTGCATATAAGCTTACGCTTCATATGGATGAGGTATCCACTAGCCACTTGTTCAAGTGCTAGTAGGTAC